TGGCAGTTGTGTTATGACTGGACTGTGACAATAATTTATTATTGTATCTAAATTCTTTCCCATGTATGAATTTCTTCTTTCGCTAGTGTTATATTTTTTGTCTTGACAATTATTTTTTTGAGAAATAATAAAATGACTCCTCGCAGAAATTCTTGACTTTCTGTCCCGTCGCATTAAAATAATATGTGGGTGCTGTGGTGTGGTTTACTCCTGTCAAACCTTTATCGTCCTTACCTCTTCTTTTTTTTGTGTTGGTCACTCTCTCATAACAACTCTCATCTTCAGCACTTACACGACCTTATTGTGTATCAAGTAGGCCTTACTGTGTGGTTGAGAAGTTTAAAACGGTATTCTCCTCTCATTCAATAGGTCCTGGGTTCAAATCCGGACAGCGACGGAAAAGTTTCTGCTAAAAAAATTTCTCTTTTCACCTCCTTTCTTGTATTCTAACAATGGTCTGTCACCTGCTTTCGCCTTCACTTTCTGCCCCCACCCCCTACCTGAGCTCTTGACTCTTTCTGCAACCTTTCTACTGCTACTCCTTGGTTCCTTCTCAATCTTGCTGTCTTTCAGCCACATGCTAATCTTATGGTAGGTAAGATCTAAGACCTAGCTTTCTCGGATAAAGGTGAAAAATCTCAGAGGTCCCGGGTGCTAGTTGCACACGTTAAAGATCCGTTGGTGGTCCAAAATTGATAAGAGTAGGCTTTGGCCGCCACCTGGGCAAAATTCAAAATTGTCTACCGAATGAAAATGTTAGACTCACTTGAACCTGAGCTATTTTTCGCCCAACAACCATTTACAGCCTGACACTTTTCCGGTATATTGAAGTGTTAACCACAAAAAGACTGTGAAAGCTATCATAATTTAAAAATTGCAACAAGAGATAGAAAGAAATGCTTTCACAGAAAAAACCCTGTTAATTTGTCTGAATAGTTTTTATTTTATCAAGTTATTGAAATGGCAAAGTCTGGGGGTTACACAATTTTTTGGGGGGCCCAATTTAGGATAAAATCATCTGTTGCAATGCCTGGGCGACTGACTTACTCCGTTACAGCTAAAAAAGTATTGCACATAGCTTCAAACTCGCATAATTTTTAATGAAAGGAAACAAGTGGGTCAACTTTTGGCTCAGCGCTTCCCGTAGTTTGTAACTGAAACACACTGGAGATATGAATCGATAAAGCGCATCCCGTAAATACATGGGATTAAGCCATCGGGGCATCCCATATAAATAAAGGGGAATAGCTCAGGTGAGCTAATGTGTCCCGTGTGCTCATAAGACCTTATGCAATTGAGAGTGCCGTAAAACACTACCACAAATAAATCAACCTAAAAACTCATCAGTGGAGTAGAGTTTTTTGTTTTTTTTACCCGCTTTAGGCCAACATCACAGAAAACGTGTTAGAACCTTAGTTTGCAGTGACCTTCATTTTAATGGGCTTTTACTTTAAGATTCTGTTGGCTATCCATTTGTTAGATCCGTATGCAAACACCTGAGAAGATGAAAACAGAGCAATATTTGTTTTTATCTTGTTATAATCATAGACAGATGAAAGTTTGCACAAGCAATTTCCTAAATTTTCAGGTATTTTCACAAAATCCCAGTGGCACTCAGTGGCATCCTTGCATAGTACCGTCCCCGTGGTTTTATGCACCCCACATAATTTCGCAAAATTTGACCATTTTTTGCATAATTTCTAATTATTTTCCTTTATCATTCTTTGTTAAAATTAATAGAATCGCATAATTTCACATTTTTGGGCTCAGTTTGCGTAATTTCAGAATTTTTCTTGCACAAAACGACGGGGATAGATCGTAAGAATTAGAACAAAGACATCTACAGTTTCTTTACTTCAAGGCAGGAAAAAGTGTGCAAAAGAAGAGAAAACACAAAAACACAAACATTATGTTTTCTTTGTGAAGAAACTGATCCAGATAGTAGACACTCTTTGATTCCAGATTGCCACTTCTGTAGCATTTTTCGTTCTGCGTTTTAGCGGATCGCCACTGAAGTGGAATTTTTGGTTCTGTGTTTTAGCGGATCGCCAGTTAAGTGTCATTTTAGGGGTACCAATTCTGTTAACTCCAAGATCTACAGCTGGTTCTGGGCTTCATTTACAACCTACTTTCATCGATATTGTGATTCTTCGTTCAATTACAAATTGTTTGAGTACTCATACAAAAAACCATCTAAACTCGTCCAATTACAAATTGTTTGAGTACTGTACTCATACAAAAAAACCCATCAATACTTAACTAAGTTATAGCTGTTTTATGGTAACATCCTTCACCCCCTCAAATTGGAAGTTAAAAAAAATTTGGAATCCCTTGCGTTTTGAAAGAATTAAGTTTGTCTGAGCAAAGAAAAGTACATCAACGTAGTAAGTAGGTCAGGTCAGTTCAGAATGGTGGGCTCAAGTAGACTTTTACCCTGATCTTTATGTGTACAAAGTGAGTTTGTGTGGAACAGTTTTGTTGTTGTGATACATACTTGCCCTTGGGGCTTCCGAATATTTTGGAACCTTCTTCTTCGTTGGTTCGTGTTGTAAAATTTCAAAATATTAAAAAAGTGTTTGTAGACAAATGATGAATTAGTATGCACACGCACACACATTCCTCGGAAATGCAGGTGGTTGGGTGAAGGCTTCTGGTGTGGTTTTTGCTGCTTCCACTTTTTTCACCAAATTTGTAGCAACCCGACAAAATGAGTCGCATTGTCACGTTCTAACAGTATCATCATACTGTGGGTATAAACTGAGGTGAAAATAGTACGAGTCTCATCCAGTCTCGCTGCTTTGGATCCACAGTACACATATTTGGG